AGAGAGAGAGAGAGAGAGAGAAAGTGAGAAAGCAAGCCTCCAGGTCCAGGACTCAAACCACAGTCGTCCATGTGGGAGTCTCCAGCGCCTTCACCACCATGCCACCTGCTGGCCCCACAGACTCTGCCTTTTGAACACACTCCCCCAGGGTAATTCTTGCCTTCTGTTTAAGAATCACCATAATAAGACCCTGAAAGCAGAAATTTAAATATTTGCCGTACATACCAGTTGACTCACACAGGGCGAGCAGGCCAACCCTGGGCTCTGTGTTAGCAATCTAACCACTCACTGGAACAGCAGAAGAAATGCCTGGGGATGGGGATAATCAGATGCAAAGAAACTGTGACCCCTCCGGCCACAAGCAGGCCTTAAAGTGCCTGAGAATACCTGCCTGACCTCATCTCAACCTCAGCTTTTGAGTTGTTTTTAAAAGTTTCAGATGTCCCACACTGTATTGGGAAGAGTTTTTTTTTCGTTTGCCTTTATTTTCTCTTCCCACACCTGTAAATAGACTATGAATTAATAACGCAGAAAGGAAAAATAGAGATCCTTATCTAAAAACCATCACTAAAAGGTGGTGAGAGAGAAGGGCAGATCTCAAAGTTCTGTGATTTAAGTCTTCCAAACTACTCACGAAAAGCTAAACACACTACTTTTTGCACCCCCACCCCGGCCCAGCAGCCCAGAGGCCCAGATCATTGCTTATTTGGGATGACTGATCTCTTCCCAGCTTAATTTCTTCCTTTTTATTTTTTTTAAAGAGAGGTTTTTGCCATAGGGTGTGTGTGCTTGCCAGAGAAACAGAGAGACAGAGAGACAAAGAGCAAGAAATAAGCCCCCAGGGGTGATGGTCACAGCACAATCCCTTCTCCATTCTCCTTTCCGGATTTTGGGCATACACGCACCTGTGCCTGAGTTTTAAACTACCAGGTTCAGGGTTCAAACCGCTGTTGACGATGTAACCATTACTTCATCTGCTGGTCCTGTCCCTGGTTTAATTTCTAAAGGTGACCAAATGATGCGAGAGAGAGGGCAATGCCACCAACAGAGTTTATTCCATACATTTCCCAAGAGATGGGATACACTGTGTCATTTCACACCAGAGGATGCACGAGTTAGAGCAGGGGATGGAACGGTGGGGAAAAGCAGGGCCCAGGAACTCAACCGTGCTTCCCATGGGAACAGCCAGGCAGGGCAGGGGGACCACTGCAGCGCCGGGTTGGCTAGTTCAACTACTGTGAGCAGCTCTGGGTTGCAGGGAGGGTCTCCAGTTGTCTGGGCCTAAGGAGAAATACTGGGTTACGGGAAGATGGAGACACAACTTTGGTCTTTACTTTGTCCTCGTGACTAATGGGTGCAAAGCAGATGAGTATGGGTTCCGACCGCTGAAGTGCACCTAGTCCCCGACCCCATAAGTAGTAGCTCGGAATCATCTCACACCCCTTGGCCAGCCTATTTTTTTCTCCTTAAGGAATAACCACATTGCTTGAAATTGTGTTTTTCATTGTTGTTTTGACTTCTCTGCTTGTTGTTAATCCCATTTTGGTAAAAACTGTGTTTCTTTGTTTTAGTTTGCTGTGTAGAGCACGTACACTTGCTGGAGAGAGGCAGAGGGCAAGTGAGAAATCGTCCCCCGGGGGAATGCAGTCCCTTCTCTTCTCTTCTCAAGACTTTGGCCTGATGTGATTTCCCACCTGCCAGGGTTGGGAATCCGGTCCTACAGTCTGCCACGTGGAGTCCAGCAGCCTTAACCTCCATCCCATCTGCTAGCCCTGGATACTTTAATCTTCTTCAAAACACACTTATTGATTGATTGATTTACCTATTTGATTGTTGTGATTTTCAAGCTGCCAGGTCTGGAACTTGAACCGTAGTTGACCATGTGGGAATCCAGCACCTTAACCACCACACCACCTGCTGGCCACATCTTAACCTTAAACTGATCTGTCATTTTGATGATCGAAGTAGAAGGGGGTGACACAGGGCTCTTTATTCTCTGACCCAGGTGGCCAGAGGGCGTTCCGCGGGTTAGGACTGTTCTCCCTTCGGCCAACTGCAGCAGAGCTAGCAGACAGATGGGGAGACTAGATCAGCCACTGTCCTGGCTGTCGTCTCACAAAACACTTTCAAAGAGTCCTTTATCTATACATGGGTCCTTTTCCTCCAACAGGTACGCCAAGTACTACAGGGAAAACAATGTTGAAAAGCGGACTTTGATAAAGGTCTTTGGGATCCGTTTTGACATCCTGGTCTTTGGCACTGTAAGTTTCCCCTCCCAGCCCCAGGAACCTTGTTGCTGTGACACTGTCCTAATTATTGCTGTAGAGCCACCAAGCAGGGGATGCTTTTTTGGCCAGTCGCTGGCGGGCGCTGTGCATTTCGTACGTGGGATAAGAGAGAAGGAAGAACTGTCCTTGAGGTCCTGTCCATGAACAAGGCATCTGATGCGTACGAGAGTGAGACTGGGAAAAAGAAACCCTTCTGCAAAATGGTTTGTTCATTCTGTAGTTTTTGCTATAGGGTGTGTACACTTGCCAGAGAGAGGGAAAGTGAGAAATCACCCCCCAGGGGCACGGCGAGGCCACAATCCCTTCTCCATTCTCCTCCCAGGATTTTGGGCATGTACACACACAGATGTCTGGCTTCTCAAGCCACCGGGTCTGTCACTTGAGCTGTGCAATCGGCCATGTGGGATCCAGCACCTTAACCACCACCTGCTGGCCCACAGAATACTTTCTAAGTAACAGAATTCAACTCAGATTGGCTTAGGAAAGTCTTTTTTTTTTTTCCCCTTGGTTCACAGAACTGAAAAGTCTAGGGGGGATTTTCAAGCTTCAGGCATGGATCCAGGTACTAAAACACTATCACCAGGAATCTCCTCTCTCCATCTCTGACAATCATGGCCCCTCTGTCTTGGCATCGGCCTCAGACTGGCCTTCTCTACAAGGAAGTATCAGGCAGCTCTTTCGGTCCAGCCAGCTTTGCCAACTCGGTGAAAAGAAAACCCCTCTTTGCCAGAAGTTTCAGTGAAAGCCTCAGGGAAATGCCATAAGCTCTGACTGGCTCAGTCTGGGTCACGTGCCTACTGCTGAGTTAATGTGATCAGGGCTATGCCATGCTCTTAGACACCGAGCCTGGGTGCTAAGGGCAGGATCTGTGTCCTCCCCCTCCTGCCAAACTACATGGCCTGAGTATGAAGAGAGGTGCTAAAAAGAAAATAGGTGCTGTTGGGACCAGCAGAGGGTGTAATGGTTATGGTGCTGGACTCCCACATAGTCAACTGCAGTTTGAATCCCGGACCGGCAACTTAAAACTCATGCCGGGTGCGTGTGCATGCGTGCCCAAAATCCCCAGAGAAGAGTAGACAAGAAGGGATATTCAGAGAGAGGGAATCACACCCTGGGGAGGGGTGATTACTCGCTTTCTGTCTGTCTCTGTCTCTCTGGCGAGCACATGCACCCTATAGCAAAAATCTCTAAAAAAAGAAGAAGAAGAAAAAATAGGTGCTGCCTTCAGAAGAAGGAAGGAGGGGATGCCTGGTATGCAAACCCAGGCGCTCACAGGGCCCTGGCCGTCAGCACGTTACTGACTTAACACAGGGCTCAGCAACACAAGAGCTGATGTGATACAGCTGAACAGACAGAGGGGCCATGGGGAAAGAAACTGCAAGGGAGGGGTTTGTGCAGACAGGCTCATTTGAGAGCTTCACCTTGTACGGGAAAACAACAGAGCTTCCATGGGGCTCCCCTTTAGCGTGAGGGTGCCAGCGCTTATTTGCTTAGGGTATTCAGGGTCCAAGCACTCCCTGGATGGCAGCCCAGGATCAGGATGAATCAAAGTCACAGTTTCAGTCTCTGCTGCAGTGAGCATTTGGGTGCATCTGTCAAAGTGACAGCTCTGGGCTCTGGTCCCGGCAATGGTCGCATGTTAGAGCAAGAAGGTGTCACTTTGAATTTCAATCGAGTAACTTCTCCCACTCTGTTTCCAGGGAGGGAAGTTCGACATCATCCAGCTAGTGGTGTACGTCGGCTCGACCCTCTCCTACTTTGGTCTGGTAAGAGAGTCTCTCTCACACTTCATGAACATGACTTGGCAGAAAGAAGTCTGGCTGATGGTGCTTGTCTGGGTTCCTAGGCCACCGTGTTCATCGACTTTCTCATCAACACTTACTCCAGCAACTGCTGCCGGTCCCACGTCTACCCCTGCTGCAAGTGCTGCGAACCCTGCGCGGCCAACGAGTACTACTACAGGAAGAAGTGCGAGTCCGTCATGGAGTCCAAGCCGGTAGGCACCTGTGCTCAGGACGCCCGAATGCCTGGAGACCTGTCAGACTGCCGAGATGTGCATGAAAACCACACAAAGGCAGTTTTTCTCCTGTGGTGCATCGCTTCTGGGCTCTGTCCCAATCCACCCTCTCTCAGATGCATCCTTTGGTCTTAGGGAAGAAAAGGAACAAAAATGGAGAGACGAGATATAGGAAAACCAAATTTTGACATTCTAGGACTTGCTAATTCTCTCATTTATTAAATTGTTGCAATCAAAAAAAAGAGGGAAAAAAGCATAATGATTTTAGAGAACAAACTGGCAATGGCTAACATTTTTTTCTTTTTTAATCGTGATAGAGCTTGTGAGAAAGAGAGAGGGGGGGAGAGAGAGAGAGAGAGAAAGCAACCTCTACAGAGTCTGGTCACATCACAATGACCTCTCTCCTGTCCAGCCAGCAGGGTCCGGGGCCCTTCTGTCAATGCCCAGAGAGTTTCAGGCTGACTGAACGGGGTTGGAGCCAGGGTCGCCACGTGGGATCCAGCTTCTCTTGAACTGCACATTTCCTGCTGTGCCGTGGGACTGGGCCAGCATTTTTTAAGTGGGACACACTTTACAGCCCGGCATTTCCATTTCTCCAGAACAGCCCTAGAGAAACCCTTCCCCAACTTCCCGAGCAGTACATGTGTACAGCATTGCTTATTAAATTACTAGTAAACTTATCATTGTAGAAAAAGCAGCTACCCAGATGTCCAACAGGTGACTAGAGAGAGGAGCTACGATGAGGCCGTAGTGAGGAATACCGGGCACCAGCTGAACCGAGTGTAATACATAACAGTCATGGCAAACACTCACGTGGCGCACACTAACTCCCTGCGTCTTCAGGACAACCCCAGGGATAAGTGCTACTGTCACCTCTTTCCATACCTGAGGAAATCGAGGTGTGGGATGCTTAAATAATGTGCCCAGTCATACAGCTAGTGAGGGGCAGAGCTGCTATTCCAGCCTAGGCAAGCTGGTTTCGGAAGCCATCTTCATAACCACTGGGTTATAGGAATTAGCATGAGCGGATATCCCAGATATTTTGTTGAGAGGATAAAAAGTAAACAGTAGAACAATACGTACAGTGTGATGTACAGGTTAAATAACTACACACACGTATACGTTATGTGTATACAAGGACGCGTACACATTATACACATATGTGTGTGGGTGTATGGGCACACAGAAAAGGGGCAACAGTGGTCGTTTCTGCGGAGGAGCCTCGTGTGGAGGGGCCGTTGATGGGAACATTAGCCTCATCTGTACTGTTGGGATTTAATGAATTTGGGCCTTACTAAGTAGGTTCCTGCACTTGACTCCAAAATCTCCTCTAATCAAAGAGAAGTCTCTGCTACTGAGCAACAACAAAGGGCACTTCTTTGTCATTCCCTCATCCATGAACATCACTGTCCTTCCTTCCCAGCAGCTGAATGCGTGATTCATTGTCCATTGTACTTGCATTTGCAATTTAAAAGTTCATCTTTGCAACTAGAAATAATGACCATTTCATGGCCCCAAATGAGATGAAATCATTTATTTTTAAGAATTATTTCATTGTATTTATTGCTACTATTATTATTATTTTTTTAATTCACCAGAGAGAGACTGAAAGAGAACGAGAGGGGAAGTGAGAAAGCAAGCCACCAGGTCCAGGACTTGAACTACACGGTTTGCCATGTGGGAGTCTAGTGCCTTAACCACTATGCCACCTGCTGGTTCCATCAGATGAAATTTAACGAATATATAAGTAATTTAAGTTGCAACAATATAAGTTTCTGGAGCTATCTAGCACTTGGGGAACAGCCAAACACCAGACAGTGAGCTATGGCTATGCTGAGACTACGAGTGAAGGCACATGGGGTTCCATGCTCAGTTACCTTCAGACTTGGAACTCATTCCTTCTTGGCTAGCAAGAGGATTTGGTTAGTTAGCTTATTTGATAGTTGGTCATTGGGTAAGTGAGAATAAAAACAGTTGTCTTTAGATGCATTTAGATAGGTCTTTCTTGATAATTCTGGACAAAAATGGCTAAACTCTTTTTTTTTTTGGAGAGGTTTTCACTATAGGGCGCCTGCGCTCGCCAGACAGGCAGAGAGAGACATAGAGACAGAAACGAGAAATCACCCCCAGAGGGGATGGTCACGCCGCAATCCCTTCTCCTCCATACTCCTCTCGGGATCTTGGGCACACACGCACATACACCCAGCGTGAGTTTAAGCCACTGGGTCTGGGACTTGAACCGCGGTCGGCTACATGGGAGTCCAGCAACATAGCCATTACGCTAACTGCTGCTTCCCAAAAATGGCTAAACTCTTTTTTTTTTGGAGAGGTTTTCACTATAGGGCGCCTGCGCTCGCCAGACAGGCAGAGAGAGACATAGAGACAGAAACGAGAAATCACCCCCAGAGGGGATGGTCACGCCGCAATCCCTTCTCCTCCATACTCCTCTCGGGATCTTGGGCACACACGCACATACACCCAGCGTGAGTTTAAGCCACTGGGTCTGGGACTTGAACCGCGGTCGGCTACATGGGAGTCCAGCAACATAGCCATTACGCTAACTGCTGCTTCCCAAAAATGGCTAAACTTCTTAACCTTCTTTTCCTAGACGTTAAAGTATGTGTCCTTTGTGGATGAATCCAACATCTGGATGGTGGACCAGCAGCTACTCGGGAAAAGTCTGCAGGATGTCAAGGGCCAAGAAGTCCCAGTAAGTTAAAACATTTTAAAAAATGTTTTAAAGTATATATATTTATATGTGAAAACTTACTAAATATAACTTTGTATAAATCAAAATTGATAAACTTAATAAAGTATACACACTTGTGTAACCAGCAATCTAATTGGAAAATTGAATATTACCAGCAAAGTTCCCTTTTATGGCCTTACTCATTACTACCTGTCCTAAAAGTAGTCATCATTGCCTAGTGGTAGCATAGTGGTAATGCAACTGTACCCACGTGGGAAAGGTCCTGAGTTTGTGTCCTGGGACTGCCCTGAGAGTGCCAGGTATGGGATCCAGGCCAGCTCAGTCTGGGGGTGGATTGTGACAAGACCCTGTTGGGGGTACCTGTCTCTATTTCTCTGTTTCATTTATGGAAGAAATAAGTTTAAAAAATTAGTCATTATCTTGTATCCCAAGATCAGTTTTACCTCTTCCAGGAATGTTATGAAAATTGAATCATGTATGGCATGTCCTCAGTATCTTACACTGTTGAGTGCCTGGCTCCTTTTGCTCGATACTATTTTTGTGAGAACCAGCCATGGCATTACATATTGCAATAGTTCATTCTCATTGTCCTGCGATTCCCATTGTCTAAACATCCCATATATTTACCCACTCTACTGCCGAGGGACATTTGGAGAGTTTCTGGTTTGGGGCTAATGCCAGTAAGGCTGCTATGGTAACCATGTGGCCCTCTGTTGGGTAATGACCTCAGGGACTGGCTGAGTCCTCAGGCAGCCATATGTTCAGTTTCAGCAGAGGCTCACAAACAGGGGCCAAAGTGGCTGTCCTAATCACTCGGGACAGTCCTGGTTACTGCATCTTCACTAACTGCAGAGTTACCAAAGGCTGCTGCAGTGACTTCATACAAACGAGGCGGCTTAAAGCAACAGAAACTTGTTCTGTCACAGTTCTGGAAGCTGGAAATGTTAAATCAGAGTGTTGGCAGGGCCCTACTCTCACAGAAGGCTCCAGGAAAGAATACTTCCTTGGTTGCTTCCCAGCAAGGAAGTGTTTACCACGCTGCTGTGCCCCCCAGTAAGAATATGGCACAGAAGTGGTAAAGTAGCGTTGTCATTCCTTAGCTCAGGGAGAGTTTTTACTGTTTCCCTATATAGTATAGTATTCACGGTAAGTTTTTCTTTTGTTGTTTTTAAAATTTTTACCACAGGGTGCATGTGTGTGCAGGACAGAGTGACAGTGTGAGGGAAAATAAGAAATCACCTCCTAACGGAGGTAGCCATGCCATAATCCCTTCTCCTCCTGGGATTTTGGGCACCCATACACAAGTGCCCAGCGTGAATTTCAAGCCACAGGCCCAGAAATTAAACCACAGTTGTCTATGTGGGAGTCCAGGACCTTACCCACCACCATGCTACCTGCTGGTCTCCACAGGTATTTTGTTTTTGTTTTTGTTTTTTAGAGATTTTTTGCTATAGGGCGCATACTCGTCAGAGAGACAGAAAGCGATAAATCACCCCCAAGGTGGGATGACCGCACTGCACTCTCTTCTCCTTCTGGGATCTTGGGCACATACGCATCCAGCATGAGTTTTAAGTCGCCAGGTCCAGGACTCAAACCGCAGTCCGGCAAGTAACCATTATGCTATCTGCTGGTCCCTCAGATATTGAATCTTAAAATAGTTTTTTTTTTCTGTTTCTTTTGAAATGATCAGTGATTATTTTTTCCTGTTATGTTGTGAATTAAATCATTGATTAATTTTCAAATATGAACCCAGTCTTGCATTTCTGAAATAAACTCAAGTTTATGTGATGTCTCGCTCTCTCTCTCAAGAAAGACTAGCCACAAATTTTCCATTTTTGTGACGTCCTTGTAAGGTTTGGGTATAGAGTGAACTGTTTCGTTTGTTCTGGACAGGGGGATGTTGGTAACGTTTACAATTCGGTGACTTCATTTCTAGAGGGTGCAGAGGCTCACCGGAGAGGGGGAGAAAACACTCCCTGGTGGGGTGTGGTCACACCATAACCCCTTCTCCTTCCTTTCTCCACCCTGGGTATTTGGGGCACCCACTCACACACACTTGATATGCTTGCCAAGCTGCCAAGGCCAAGATTTGAACTGCTTGGTCAGCTATGTGGAACTGGTTCCCTTAGCCAGGAGGCCATGGGGCCAGCCCCAGTCTGTACTCATGAAGCAGATGTTCCCCATGCTCACTTCCCCTCAGCCCCTGGCAATGACTAATCTTCAGCCCGTAGATTCGCCAGTTCTGGACATTTCACGTAGCTGGACGTGTTTAGTATGCGATCTTTTGTGAAGGTCTTCTTTCACTTAGTGTAAAGTTTTCAAGGTCCATCCACGCTGTAGCAGGGCACATTTTGTGTACCCATTCATCACGTGCCGGATACAGATGGCTTCTACCTTTTGGCTATTGTGACAGTGCTGCTGTGAACATTCAGGGACAAGAATGATTCAAATCTGTTTTTTTTTTTTTTTTTTTTTTGCCATAATTTGCATGTGCTTGTGGGAGGGACAGAGAGAGGGAAAGTGAGAAATCACCCCCAGGAGGAATGGCCATGCCACAATCCCTTCTCCTCCATCCTCCTCTTGGGATTTTGGGCACACACACACACATACCCCTGGTGTGAATTTCAAGCTGCCAGGTCCAGGCCTCAAACCTGGTCAGCCATGTAAGAGTCCAGCACCTTAACCACCACATCACCTGCTTGCCCAGGAATGATTCAGTTTTAATGTACCTTACTCAGCTTGAAAAACACTGTGTGCAGGTGCATGCACGCCCCAAATCCTGACAGGATAGAGAAAAGGAGGGAAAAGGATTAGAGTATGACCACATGCCTCCAGTGGAGGGTGCTCTCTCTCTGATGCGTGCAGGTACCCTCTGACAATTAAAAAAAAAGAAGAACCTATACTCTTAGAGTCTGTCATTGCTGAGAGGCTTAGAAATATGACTTTTTCAGAGACCCCTGATGGACTTCACAGGCTTGTCCAGGCTGCCCCCATCTCTCCACGACCCACAAGCCGTCCCTGAAGAACCAGATGAGATGCAGCTGCTGACTGCAGAGGCCAGTCCTAGGCCCACCAACAGCCCAGATTGGTGCCAGTGTGGAAGTTGCCTCCCATCCCAGCTTCCTCAGAGCCGCAGACCCATGGAGGAGCTCTGCTGTCGGAGAAAGCCGGGTGCCTGCATCACGACCTCAGAGCCCTTCAGGAGGCTCGTCTTATCCAGGCGAGTCCTGCAGTTCCTGTTGCTCTATCAGGAGCCTTTGCTGGAGCTGGACGCGGAGTCCGCCAATAGTCGGCTGCGGCACTGTGCCTACAGGTGCTACACCACCTGGCGCTTCGGCTCCCAGGACCTGGCTGACTTTGCCATCCTGCCCAGCTGCTGTCGCTGGAGGATCCGGAGAGAGTTTCCTAGGAGTAAAGGGCAGTACAGTGGCTTCAAGAGTCCTTACTGAGAGCGTGGGGGCTGCAGGAGTCGTATCGATGGTACTTTTGCTAGCACTCTGAGCTTCACCTGCAAAGATCTGCGGCCATATTTTCAGCCAAAGGGAAGTGTGTTTTCTTTTACTGCTCACGTGTGTCAAGCAAACCAATGAATCAGAATCCCTCCACATATGGAAGTCTCAATTCCGTCCCTAGGAAGTTGTGCGGCCCTGGGGTTGTCACCTCTGTCCTTCAGTTGCCTCATTACCCCATCTACTGAATTCCAGAGGTGTTGTGAGACATTCTCCATAAACTATCTGATTAATGGGTAAAGAGCTTTGTGAACACAGAGCATCTCACTGTGTGTTCAGACTAAGGCAGTGTCTAGCTAAGAACAAACCCTTTAGGTCCTGGTTAGAGAATGTGGAGGATTAAAGATGGCTACAAATTCTTTGACACTCATCCTTCAAGTACTGAGGGTTTCATCTTTCCACTTGAGTATGGGTAGCTCTGATGGGTTGATCCAATGGTGAAAGTGAGGCTTTGTCCATTTCAAGATCTTGGTCTTAAGAAGCTGGCAACTCATGCTG